GAACCCCCCTCCTGCCTGGTACCCAGGTAGGGCTCGTGGGGAGCCTGCGGCCGGGCGAGCTGGACTCCCCGTTGGAGGAAAGGGTGTGCCCCACCGAGCAACACGGGGTGTGTCAGAAACCAAATGACTCGACCGTCCCCACAGTGTCACCCTCCGAGAGCGGGCTCCTGCCTGCTGACTCGTTGCCTGTCGCCACGGGGCTCCAGCAGCTCCTCACCCCTATTTCAGACCCAGCCAGGCTTGAGCCAAGCCTGGGCTCCACCACGGCTCATCATGGGCTGGGAAATGCGTGAGACCTCACCGGTCAGTGCTGTCCATGCCGGGGGCCCAGGAGGCTCAGTGTGGGCTCGGCGTGGACGTCGGGACAGAAAAGGGAGCAGAAGCGGGAGCGGGGCGGCTGGGCAAGGCTGCTGCAAGGCGGAGTGTGGGACTGAGCCCCAGGTTGTGCCTGGGCTCCCGGCCATCCCCTCCAGCGTGAGCAACATGCGGAGGCTGCGTTTGCTGTATTTCCTGGCTGTGGGCAGTAAATCCTCGGGGACCAGGACAGTGGCTGTGTTTTTAATGACAGAGCTCCATGAATCAGCATTGCAGTTCTCCACACTCCCTGCGTTCCCGTCTGCCTGGCTGGATCATCAGAGTCATCAAAGTCCCCAGACCCAGGCTGAAACCACAGCCCTTCCCTGGGCTAACACTCACCTGTCCCCTCCCTGCTCCCACATAGGGCTCTGCTGCTCTTTCTTTGCTGGTCAAAGTGGCAAAGCCGCTTTGCTTGGCTCCTTTCTTGGATTTTCCTAACTCTTCCCAACTGCTGGAAGCCTGCGACTGTTTCAGCCCCCAGAGAGTCCGGTGCCAGGGGTTTATCCCAGCAAGCGATCAAGCAGGGGAGTGACGCAGCCCTGACCGCAGCCTGCGCAGACAACCTGGGAGAATGCTCCTCCGGGCTGGGGGAGCCCCTTCATCCATCACAGGGAAACCCAAACAGATCCAGCAGCTGGAACTTGAAATTGTCCCTGTTGTGACTAGAAACAAAAAGCATGTTTCCAGCAAGAGCTCTCGATCTCTTCCACTGGGCTGGTGGAGCTCCCCACTGCATGGAGTTCCTCTGTGAAGATCTGTGGTCAACCTAAAAACCACTTTGCTGCTCAGCTGGCGGCTGGGAGCCGGTGCCGCTGGGTGATGGGCTGTGCAGAGGGGGACGGGAGGGAGAGCCGTGGTCCCTCGGGTCCATGGCATGTGGCTCCCCAGGCACGTCCACATCCATGAGGGCGTGGGCTGTCCTCAGACGGCACTGGGGACACGGAGCGAGTGTGCACACGTGGCAACGAGAGCTGTCCTGAATGGTGTTCCCCGTGTGTCCCCATCCCAGACTCGCCCCAGCCCCGGTGTGCGAGTGTGGGTGAGCAGACCCTCACATGCACCCCAGAGATTGCAGCAACCACGAGGTACAAAATCTGGAAGACCCCTGGAGTGGGGAAATGCACTTGGGGTAAGTTCAACCCCCCACCTCCCTGGACAAGGCTGTCCTGCCTGTCCCAGGAGCGCTGGTGCTGCCGGCCTTGGCGAGGGGCGTGCTGGGGGTCTCCTGTGCCAGGGCAGTGGCAGGAGAGCAGCAGAGCTGGTGCACGTGTTGAGGAGCAAAGGAGCGAACCCAGGAAGCGAAGCATCTCTCGCGCTGCCCGAGAGACAGCTGGAGTTCCCAGAACCTGCTCAGCATCCCCAGGGGAAACCAGACAGCGAGCGGCAGCCTAAAAATAGCTGCCCAGGGCACACGCACTTGCCCGAGAGAAGGGGAAGTGAAAAGGGAGATGGTCTGCAGCTTTCCAAGGAACAGCCCCCAGGCCAGCCACGGCCCCGCTCAGCCTTGCGCAAGGAGGGACCTCTCCATCCTTCTGAGGGACAGCAGCTCTGTCCCTTCGCCCGCTAACTGCTCTCCCGGGACACGCCAAGGTCTCCCCTTGCCACAGCCAAATCGCTTGCTGCCCTTTTCCCGTGGGTGACCCTCAGCACTGCAGGGTGGCCGGTGCTGGGTACCTTTCACAGCACTCCCGCTGCCGCCCGGACACTGCTGGTAACCCCTGCCAGCCATGCTGGGCTCCTCTCCTCCAGCCCGGGATGATTCTTGCTCAGGTGAAAACAGCGCATCCAGTTTGTGAGGCGCTCTGTCCTTGTGCCGTCCTGGCAGCTCATCCTGGGGACGTGGTGCCCGGAGGGGCCCAGCCTTCCCACAGAGCTGCCATCCCTCTGCTGAGAAGACATCGTTCCCTTTACAATACCCCAGTGAGTGACAAGCAAAGGGAGAGGCCTCAGCGGAGAGGTTTCCCCTGCCCAGAGAAGTCCTTGATGTGGGGGTTTCTCAGACTGCAGGACTCTGGACGGGAGCACCCTGCTCTCGCTGTGCTGCTTTGCCGCTCTCCCATGTGTGAATCACAAAGTCTTTCCTGCAACACCGTCACCTGAACATTCAGCATGAAAAAGCATCTGAGGATCAGGCACCAGCACCCGCAGGGTCCAGGACAACGTCACTACGGGGCCAGGACCACTCTTCCAGGCAGGAGCAGTGCAGGATCCCAGGAGTCCAATTCGAGTCCCTTAACAAATACTCAGCTCTATATAACCAAATACAAGTAGTCCAAGGAGGGGCAGAGGTTGGAGGAGCCAGTCTAACCAGTCAGCGACCAGTCTGCGTCTCCCCAGTAGTGCTCACCCAGCTCCTGTGCGGCTGTTTCCAGTCACCTAAACCTGGTGTGAACAAGTGCACCCGGGGCAGCGGCCGGCCAGGAGCCCAGCGCCCGCTCTGCCCTGTTTAACACACACGCAATGGACTTGCAGATTATCAGCCTTTTGGTTTAAGGAATTTATGCGCTGTGCAAATCACATCCAGGCCCACGGCTGAGCTTTCTGCAGCAGCAGTGACCCGCACTGGGTGCGGGCGCTGAAGCCCCGCAGGTCGGCAGGAGCAGGGGCACGGAGCAGACCCCCACGCCGTGTGATGCGCGGCCGGCGGCCGCCTCGGGAGAGGGGATTGAGGCCATCGACCCTCCGAGTTTCTGCCCTGCAAATACAGATGGGCTCCCACCCCCAGGCAAACGTGTACGCTTCCTAATGGGTTTAATGCAGTTCGACTTGAGTTGGACTAAGCAGCTTTATAGCAGAGAGCTCTCTGGTGACGGTGTAAGGCACGGAGGGTGGACAGCACACCCAGTAAATCTTTCCGAAACCTTTGAAAACATAAATACTTGGTGTAATCCACTGAGAGGATAAAGTGTCAGGGCAGTCCCTGAGTTGGTGAAATCGTCTTGCAATCAGCCATGGGCTCTGGCTAAACCTGCCGGGGCGACGCTCGCAGAGCAGCACGGGCGGAAGGAAGCCGGCCGGAGCCTTGAGGCAGGCAGCCGGAGGGAAGGGCTGCTGGGGAGCTGCGCCGCTGCCTCGGCTCAGGTGCAGGGAGGATGGAAACTGCCTGACCACAGAGCCGCGCACGCTTCCTCCCTCTGCCTGCACACAGCAGCGGCGTGCACGCAGGCGAGACTCCCCGGCCTCACTGCTCGGGCGTGAACCAGCAGCGCCCTTCCGAAACCGAGATGCTTCTGTCAAACGCTGCATTTTGTGGCCACCGGACGCCAGCGATGGATCTGCCGGAGGGGAGAAGCACAGGGGCCGTGGCCCCTCGCTCCCACGCAGCAGCGCTCCGTCGAGTTGTGGCTGCACAGTCTCCCCGTCCATGGCACGGCTGCCGGATCCATCCCAGCAGCTCCCAGCTCACTCCTGAGGGAACCGCGTGCCTGGAGGAAGGATCCCATAGCCATTCGTGTAAGGAGAGACCCAAGATCGAACCCACTCGCTGCATAGCCACAACGCCGTGTGCTGGCTGCTCCGTGGGAGCCACAGCTCGTGGTGCCACTGGCCAGGACCCCGCAGCCGTGCGGACACCAAAGGGCCCCCAGGTGTTTCACAGCCCCTGGAGCCTCAGAGTCCGCAGGCGCCCATCACCGGCTGCGCGGTGGCGGTCAGCGCCTCCGCAGTCCTCACGGCAGCTCAGCCCAGGGCTCGGCTCTGCCGCGCTCGGGAAGGCCGGCCAATTTGCCGTGACCACCAGTGCTTTGCCTGTGTGCCAGCCTCTGCCGTGTGCCATTCCAGGACCATGAGGCAGGACGTGTGCTGACAAGGCCCTCATCTGCTCCTCTTGCTGCAGCTCCCTGAGCTGCCCCAGCCCAAACCAGTAATTATCTCTTCTGTCTGTGGGCAATTACCGATCTCATCACCACACTGCCCAGGGAGGGGAGGCCAGGGTGTCAGTCTGGATCCGTGCCACACGGTGGCTAATCACTCTGCCAGAGGAGCTGGTCCCAGCAGCCGGTGAGAGCCGGAGCCGCAGCTCAGCAGTGCTGGGTGCTGCACAAATGCTGCTGGGTGGCCGTGGGAGCAGAGCCCCTGCACGGTGCAGAGCACAGAGATAAAAGCTCTGCTGCTGGGAGCCCACACGTTTCCCACAGCACAGGTCCTGGCATGAGAGGGCTGCAGCTTTCCCCGCTTCCCTTTCTCTCCCTCCTCCCTATGCCCCGTATGCCGGGAGCAGCTCTCCATAGGTCCGGTCCCCCTGCGCTTCCCAGGCAGCTCATGGCAGCACCTGGGTGCAGGCACATTCTCCTCAGCTGTAATCTTAGCAAATCAATCAATCAGTCAATCAATCTCTGTGCTTAAATAGCTTGGCATGAGCAGCTCAGCTTCTTCTGCATCTGGGGAAGGCCTTATGGATACTTGTGTCTTCTGGGAAGATTTGCTGGTGTGGGTGGGAGCTGGGAGAGTTTATGCATGGGATGAGGCAGCTGGGCTGTACCTCTGGGTGTGCTGGGTTTGCTGCACCTTGGAAAGCCCAGCTGAAGTCCTTTCTCCTGGGGCTTAGCCCAGCTCCTGCCCAAGAGGGAGAGGTGGCACCGAGTGCCTGGAGGCTCAGTGGGGAGGAATGGGCATGGGGCCGTCCCCGCTCCCAGGGAACGACCATGTGGGCCAGAGGAGCAGCCCGGTGTGGGGTGAGCGGAGGCCGGCACTGGCGTCCCTGTGGGCGCAGGCAGACCAAGCTGGCTTTGCAGCCAGGTGAGGTGGAGGAATCAGGTTTTGCTGCATATGGCAATTCCAGCAGCATATATTATTGCTGAGGATCAGGTGGTGGTTTATCTCCCAAGGATGTTTTTGGGACTGGTTTTCCCTGTGTTTAATGTTCTCTGAAAGGTGATGCTTTTTAAAGAAACTTCAGGTAGAGCTGCTCCAGTCTTCTTTGAGTTTGATTACCGAAATGTCAGGATAATGCTTTTGTGCTTCAGAACCCCAGCCCTTCCAGCAAAGCTGCCTCCCTGGCTGCCCATGCAGAGCTGGAGCTACCCAAGAAGCTCCGGCTGAAATCCTTCCCTGGAAGCTCTGGCTAACTGTCCGGCAGCGCAGCTGCATCATCCGCCCTTATCCTGCCATCAGACCGCACAGGGCAAACCCCTGTGCCCGGTGACTCCTTTGCCTGGTCAAGACTTTGTACTAGATACAAATCTTAGCTTGCCTTCCTAGAAAGGGATCAGGACCCTCCCGGAGGTATGTGTTTTGACTCACTTTCTTAGGAGTAGTTTGGTGGTTTTGCTCATTAAAGAGCGTGATCGGAGGCTTCTGTTTGCTGTGATGGTGGAAGTATCTGCCTGGAGGCTTTCGTCCTTGTACCTTCAGTGTGAAATGAGCTGCAGCTTGTCAGCCTGGCTCCTAAGAAAAGGGAATTTCTTGCTCTCCTCTTGAGTGTGTTGGAGAGTCGTGTGGGGGAAAAGCCCTCTGGAAGCCCTGGGAAGCCACAGAGGACAATTTCTTCCCAGTGCCTTCATTGATGGCATTTCCAAACCACCACCCCAACCTGCTCTCCTCAGCAAGACATCCTGGAGCCTCTGACTTTCTCACGCTCTCCGCAGTGGGTGCAGGGCAGGCGGCAGAGTAGCACCCATCTACCTGGAGAAGGGAGAGGAAATCCCGGAGCCACCTCCAGGCCGTTGTGCCTGGGCCAGGGCAGCCGGAGCCATCCTGGCTCCTAGCCCCTGTGTGGGACTCCAGTGTTTGTTCCCTGTGTGGCTCTTGTTGCAGAGGAACTTTTATTCAATATGTTTTACTTGGGCTTTCGTGTCCAAAATTAAATCTGACTCCAGTAGCTTCTTGTTTGATTTTTGTGGAGTGGCTTGAAAGTTGAGCTGTCTGGGGCTTGCAGCGTGTTGGCACCGTTTATTTTTTGATGGAAGTTTTTGTGATTCCAGTGGATGGAGAAGATTGGAAAAGCTTGCACAAAACATCTCATTCCTTTCACAACTTGCTGGGCAGCGGAGCGGCTCCTTGCTGCTGCGACCAGCGGATTGCAGCCTCGCCAGGAGACACATGCGCAGACCCATTTCTGATGGAGAAAATCTCATCATTATACTCGGCTGCCAAGGAACAGCATCAGCTTAAGTGATAAGAGGAGGAAGAGAGCTCCGAGGACAGCCCTCTCCAGGGCTGCTCGAGGAGCCGAGGGGGACGGCAGAGAGGGTGCAGGGCAGGACGAGGCAGATGATGTGCGCCAGGCTCCCTGCAGTGCGTAGGGGAAGGGATTCCCATCTCCCTCTGCCCTAGAGCCACAGCCCCGCTCTGCTCCCAGCGGGCAAGGGGATACCTTCCCGGGTGGGGATGCTTCCCCGGTGCTTGCTGTCTGGTCTGCGTTGCTCTGGAGACGTGGGGCAAGCAGGACCTGCTCCTACCATGTGGGTGCTGAGCCCTGTGCCATGGAAGGAGAGTCACAGCCAGAGACAGAGGGACTTCAGTGGCTCTTTCCTCTGAATTTCTCCGGACTTGCCTGCCTCTAAGAAGATTAAAGACAGATGGTCTCCGAGGCTCCCTCGCTGGCACCCATGCTTGAGGCTGGGGGTGAAGGCACAGCGGAAAAGGTCCATGGGGAAGGGGGGCTATTCCCACCTGAGTCCCTAAGGGATGGAGTCTCCTGGGAGCCTGCTGTTCAGTGCTGCCCTCCCTGCTTGCGCTGACTGCGGCTCTGCAGAGCAGGGCTGTCGCCTCCTTCCTCGCAGGGGGGCTCTGGGGAGGTGGGAGAGGGGAGCCCAGCCATGCCCCCAAAACAACTGCTCTGGCTAACGGTGCCGCGTCTACTCAGTGTTTCAGCCCCTCCATCGGCCACAGGAAAGCAGGCTGCACTGTGCTTTGTTAAACCGCTGTGGAAGCGCGCTGTGTACTCCTGACAAGCGTCTCCTTCTTGGGGATTTTGCACGCAGCCTCTCCTGGTTTGCGCTGGAAGCAGCACCAGAAAAGAGAATTCACCTCACGTGGCCCCGTGTGCACCCGCAGCAACTGCAGCGACGCACTTGCGAAGCCATCTAAATTTCCATGTGATGACCCAGTTCAGGGTGGTTTTGCCTCTGGATTTTCCCACTGCTGCTGCCTCTGGGTGGGTGGTGGCAGTTCCAGACCCTGCCACTGTGCTTGGTTTTAAGGCCACCACGCTTGCTCCACGCTGACAGCCCCAGCCCTGAGTGCTCGGACTCTTTATGGCGCTTTCCTTGAGCGTTGCAAAATGCTGGGCGCTGATTTTCTTCCTGCAGTAGCATCTGAAAATACTCTCGTGTGCTCCGTGGTCCTGTATGTTTTACTGAAAGCTTTGAGGAGTAAACAGCTTGTTGCAAAGGGGTTTTTGCTGCTTTAGAAAGCCCGTTACACTGGGGGCAGGGCGCACATCACTTCAGCTGCAGGAGTGAAGGTGGTGGGGATGCTCCAGGGGTTTTCAGTGTGCACGGTGGAGTAAATTCCTGCCCAGCTTCCAGCAGAGCTGACTCTTCCTTTGCCGTTTTGCAACAGCCCTGGCCAGCAATCGCTGAGCTCCTCAGCACCAGCATTGGGTTTGAACTGCGAGGCGAAGGGGCAGCTTGTATTTAGAAGGAGACAATAATTGCAAGTCAGATTTGCTTGTTCAATACTCTATTGACAGATTTGCCTTGGCAACCTGGAACAGGGTTTCATTGTGTGGTTCTTACCTCATGGCATCCTATTGATTGGGTGGGTGGGTTTTGGTTTTTGTGGGGTGGGTTTGTTGTTTTGGTTTTTTTTTCCCCCCAAGCTTACCTACTCATTCTTTTTCTTGTCTTTCTCCAGCATGGTGTTGACCTCAGCAAGGGCTATATTGTAATCTGGTTTTCAGACTGGCCACAACTTCAAATGCAAGCCAGAGCTGACAAAAGCAGAAGGGCAAATCCATGGGCCCAGCTGGCCAAGGCTGCGGGCGGCCAGGTAGGAATGAATGGGGCCAGTGCCCTCCCCCTCCTTCCAAGGACGCTGTCGTGCAAGAGAGTTGCAAAGTCCGTGCCTGGCCGCCTGCGAGAGCGGCCTTGAAGGAAATGCTGTAACTATTCATGAATTAACTTTCTGTTATTATTTGGTGCTTAGCCTGGCGTGCTCCTGGCCTGTTTGGGCTCCGGGACGAGCTGCTGGCCCTGCTGGGGCAGATGGGAGGAAAAGCTGAGCACCCAAACTGCAGCCTTGGAGTCTTTGTGGTGGAATTGGAGGATTACAGCTCAAAAAGAATTGGTGGTTTGAATTGCTAATAATGATACAGACTAATGAGCAACATCAGAAATCATGGCATGTGTAATCAGTGCTGCTTGATCGCAAACATACAGCAGGTCTGCGGGAGCTACTGGCGTAAGGGGCGAGGGGAAGCGGAGCATCTTGTGTTTTGGAGAGGTAGAACCCAACCCGAGTGAGGCACCGCCACAGAGCTGGCTCTGGCTCCGGGGTAAGAACTTTCTAAATAATGATGAAAAGAATAAACCTAGACAGACATCAGCTCTGGGTAGCAGGAGGGAACATGGCCAGCAAGTATTTGAGGGGAAATTGCCTTGGTATGCTTCCTAGCACCTGCAGGAAGCCCATCTGTCTCCGGCTGTTCGAGGTTTTGTCTTACAGCTGCAGCCCCCGCTCAGGATCAGGCCCTCGCGGGGCCGCCCGCTGCGCAGGCACAGGGGGGCGGCCGGAGCCCCGCGCTCGCTCTGCTCGCCCCTCCGCCGGGGACCGAGTCCTCCTGCCGAAAGGAGCGGTGCTCCTACGGACGATGCTCTGCAGATAAAGAGGAATCCGAATTTTTGCACAGGTGTGTGGCAGAGGGGAAGAACACCCACAGAATGGGTATCTGCACCTCGTACCTGCCTTATAAACAGGCAAATCATAAACAAAATGCATGGTATTAAACAACTGCTCTTTTGGCTTTAAAAGGCAGTGGTTGGCTCTCACTTCTTTTGGTTGGAAACCCTTTTGCTTTTCTCATCCCTGTGATATGCCCCAACCAGTCAAGAAGAGGCAGCAGTTGGAAACATTTCCTGCTTTCCTTATTTAGGATATTTTATGTGGTTCAAATAAGGTGTCCTCTTTCAAACTGACAAAGGGAAAGATGTATCAGTTCACGAACTGCTGCTATCTGAGCAAGGTAAGAGATAGAAAATCACCACCATTACAATCATTACTGCGAATCATGTGCAATCAGCCCGGTAACAGAAAGCAGATGAACATCCTGCAGAAACCTACAGGATGGGAGCTGGTGCTGAGCCGCGGCAGCCACGAGCCAGGCAATGATTAAAATGCTTTTAATATTGGTTTTCAGTGTTGCTTTCACTTTTTTTTTTTCCTTAATATATGATATTTCATCAATGGCCTCTCGTACTGCTCCCGCAGCAGGTTCTACAGAGATGCCAAGGATGTCTGGTCACACATTTAAAAATATATATATTTTTATATAAATCTCTATATATGCAGCCAGCCAGCCCCTGCCCTCCTTATCTCGCCTTCCCGACTGTGTCCTGGGAAGAGCTGAGCCTTCCCGGCCGGGCTGGGCCCGGAGCGCCCGCGGCTCGGTGGGCTGGACGCGCTCTGCAGCTTGCCCAGATTGGAGGGGAATTGCACCAAATCGTGCTCGTCCCTGGGCATTTCGTTTTATTGCAAGCATTAGTGGTTTGTGCTCGGCTTGTCTCCTCTGGCAACAGGAGAAGCTTGAAATGTCAAAGGGGAGGGTTAACAAACTCTGCTGGCATAAATTTCAATGAATGTATGTTTCTTAGGAAAACTGCTAAGTTAAAAAAAAAAAATTTAAATCTTCCTGTCTGTGCTTTCTTTCGGCTGCTGTTCACAATGGATAATAATTCTTACATTAAGCCCCTTCGGCCCTCCAGGGAAATCAAAATTGTAATATCAGTTTGCTTTTTATTGGCTCGGCTCTACGATCGCGGCGGCTGCGTCTTTGTTATGGTCTCCGGCGCGGTGACATTCAGCCGTGCCTCCCCGGTGCCCCCGCACCTCCGGGCCCGGGAAGGGCCCCCGAAGGCGCAGGCTGCTGCCGCCCG